TGGACATCCGTATACCGTAATGTAGTCACGAAGTGTCGTTAGCACAGGAGTTGTCTTTGTATTACGTAATGCTCTTAAGACTACGTATTTGGTAAAAGCACATACTATGACGAGTATGTAACAATTACCGTGTTTGCTTCGAATAAACGGCCCTAGATGGTCAACGTGTACACATCTAAATGGAACTGGAACAACATCGCTGATATGAAGCTGCGCTTCCTGTTTGCCACCAGATACTTTGTTCATGCAGCATTCTGGACAAGATGCGATATAAGACTTCAGATAAGGTCGCATACGTGCGAACCAAAAGTCTCTAGATAAACGTTCATAGGTCTTTTCCAAACCAAAGTGACCTGCTTCATCATGGCAAGCTCTTGCTAAACGCCACCTCACGCCTCTTGGAACCACTAGTCGTCGGTTCCCGTTGATCTTACGATATAACCGCTGGCCTTGCAATGCATAGTCGTCTTTCAGTTGGGGTGCGTTGGACGCTCCTTTGCCGTTGAGAACTTCGATGATCTCTTTGAGCGTCTCATCCTGTCTTTGCATTGCCGACACCCAATCATTGTCGATATCAACCACCCGATATATTGCCTCTGCAATCGTTGTCGGTTCCACTGGAGGAAGAGTCGGACATCTACTTAAACCGTCAGCTAATGCATTCTTCGCACCTGCGCGGTGGATACATCGGAAGTCAAACTCCTGTAGTTTGAGCCACCATCTCGCCACCCGCGGTAACAAAGGCGTCGTTGCTTTTGTGACTGCCACCGCATTGCAGTCAGTTATTACGTTGAACTTGTGTCCGATCAGATATAACCGGTATCGTTGCAGCGTTTCAACTATCGCTAGAACCTCTAGCTCGTGACTGGCATAGTTGCGCTCTGCGTCATTGCATTGCCTGCTGAAATAGAACACCGGCTTCCATTCTGTGCCATCGTCGTTTTGCATTAGCACTCCGGACAACCCTATAGTGCTCGCATCCGTGTGCACCTCGTGGGGTTTTGTTGCATCGTACATCGTCAGTACTGGCTTTGTAATTATCATCGTTTTAAGCTTTTCAAACGCGTCGTTCTGCTCTTTCTCCCAAACAAACTCTGCGTTCTTTTTCAACAACATCGTTAATGGTCGTGCCAGAATGCTATATTCTTTGACAAACTTCCGGAAATATCCGGTTACTCCCAGAAATTGTCGCACCTCTTTTGCTGTTGTTGGTTTTGGGAGTTCTTCGATCACCTTCGTTTTATTTTCGCCTGGACGTATGCCGTCGCTATTTATGTCATGACCCAAGAACTGGACCTGCTGAGCCAAGAAAGTACTTTTGGATGGTCTAAGTGTGAGACCCGTAGCGTTGATAGCTTCAGGAAACTCAATACCTTCGTCGACCGTCTTCGTGGCTATGATGACCTCATCCACGTAGTTAACCACCTTGTCCCGGTGTTTAAGTGTCTTAATTAAATTGACAATAACCTCCTGGAAAACCATCGGAGCATTTACCAGACCGAAGGGCATAACGTTATGCTCAAACAATCCTTCATGAGTCAAAAACGCTGTAAACTTCTTCGATTCTTCGTTCATTGGCACTTGATGAAATATATATTACCAGCTAAACGTGAAAGCTGCTCTTCCACAATTGGCATAACATAGTTTTTCTTAACGGTCACATCATTCAGTGCGCGATAGTCGATGCACATTCGACTTTCGCCGTTGGACTTCTTCACAAGGAGGACCGACGCAGCGTGTGGTGAATTGCTTGGACGGATTATGGCGTTGTCCAACAATTCCTTTAAAATCTGCGATAATTTTGGCCGTTGTGAAAACGGTACCAAATAACGTTTGCCCAAAATAGGCACTGATGTCGTCACCTCTATCGTCATTTGTGCGTTCTTGCATCTACCAATGCGGCTAATATCTTCTGCAAAACAATTATGAAAAGCTAACAAAAGATTCAATGCCTTGCCTTCATCTTCTTTCGATAAACAATTGGATACGTTAAAGTCCTCTTCATTGACTTCTACGAGATGCAGCACGCCGTTGTCTACCACCATGTGATACCCGTTGTTTTGTAGGACGTCGCGGCCCAATAAGATGTCGTAGGGTAGCAGCTTGTCGGCGACAGTATACAAAGTCACCTCGCGTTGAACATTGTCAATGTTCGCAGTAACGTTGACTTGTTGAGTCACTTTCACTTTGGACCCGCCAAATCCTGTGAGGCATCTATTAGCTTCCCGTTTCTGCATACCATCGGTTGCTGATGCTCTTATCAAAGAGCACACGCTTCCCGTGTCGATGAAAGCTTCAAGTTGCTTTCCGTTTAGCTCTACCAGTTTCATAACTGGTGGAGCCTCGTCGCGTTCATGATGATCGGCGATCTTTGCCACTGAAGGCTTCTTGTTGCAGTTCTTGGCTTCGTGTCCTACCTTCGTGCATACCGTGCACCGTGGTTTCCGTTGAGGTTGCGGGCACTTAACCGCAATATGTCCGTGCTCGTTGCAGTTGAAGCATTTTATTTGCGTTGGCTTGACGTTTCCTTTTGCTTCGGTCTTCACTGTCTGCTGGATTGGCGCCGTTGGTACCGTTGATGTCACAGACACACTACTGACCGCGGTTAAGTTCTTCAGTGCCACTAATAGTTGACTACACGTTGCAAAATTCATTGCTGCTAATGTCTTTGTTAGTGCATTGTCGTTGAGACCACTTATAATATGCGTGTTGATGGATGCATCGTCCACCATACCCTGACGGCCTATAGTTAGCATCGAGTAATAATACTCCAGATAGTCTTCGCCGTTTCTCCGTTTACGCTTCATAAGCGTCTTATGAGCTTCAGCTGCGTTGTGCATTGATGGAAAGTCAACTTTAAATGCATGCACAAATTGTGACCAGGACTGGAAAACTGTTTGTGCATCCAGCCAACGTTTGGCCATTCCTTTCATTTTGTGCTGAACTGCGATCAAAACCATTTCTTCTTTCCAACCGTAGCACTGCTGCAATTGTTCAGTCCGAGTTATAAATTGCGTTGCTGAAGTAGAGCCTTTGAGTGGGTCGAATTCAGGCATTACACCCACCATATCCTGAATTGACATCCTTCGTCGTGATGGTCTCCGTACATCATCAGCTGACTCCCAGGTCGATTCGCTTGTACCTGACCTGGCATCGTCGTTGTCGTTGGACGTTTGTTGAATTTCATCGTTGCTTGTTCCCTGTACTGGATTACGATTCATTGAACCGATAGCTGACCTTAAACTTGCCATCGTCTCTCTTAAACTGTTGAGTTGTGCACGTAAGTCATTTGGCAAAACCGCACTGTCATCTTCAAGCTCCATTGGATCTATTTCGTCTACCCCTAAAACTTCTTGCAGCTTTGATACCTTGACTGCCTTGGTACCTGTCGTTGGTAAGTCGTTGGCCCTTAGTAGCGCGTTCAACTGAATAACCTTTAGCGTATTCAATTTGATCATATTTGTGAAAAAAAATACTTTATTACTCGGAAACTAAAATGCGTCAATCAATTTTATTTCACCGTCCTAACATTTGCAGCCGTCACTGTAACTTTTACTTCTTCTTTGGCCCTGCTCTATTTCGTTTTTTCTTTAGAGTTACGCAGCCGTTCTCACCAATTGCTACTCGCCACTTTGCCTTTGCTGCAAATTCGTTGCCAATTAGAAATTCTAAGCTTTTTCAAAATTTATACGTTGACTCGTTGTAGCAGTGACGCTGAATCCGCGTCGTTTCGCAGCTTCGATTCGTAGCTGCGCAGTCGAGACTGTTCTAGGTAGCAAAGTCAGCCTCGCGTTGCACGATTGCGTATGCCTTGCTGCTTAATGATTTGCGATCCGTTGCAAATATTCGTTGCCTTTCCACCGAAGACGTTGACGTTTCACCGTGGTGTCGTTACGCAGCACTAATGCTTGGTTGCGCCGTTGAGACTCCCAATATCCAAAGGGATGATGCGCCGTTTCGCAAATACGTGCACTTTGCGCTGCCTTCCGGATATGTTGAGACTCGGGCTTGTCTTACACCTGTGCGCCGCTGTACCACGCTGACGTTTTTTTT